TACCCTTATATATATAACTAATGGTACACCTAGTCAACAAGCCAGGTGTATATGAGCCACTGCTGACTTAATGACCCACACCATACTGCTGGCTTAGCTTAATTACCAAATCGTCTAATTAATAATTACAACATGAACGATACTCGCTTTGTCGCGCCGGCTACCCTGGAAAAAAGGGAGAATGTTGTTGTCCGTCTATTATTTGTTAAACTTTTTTGTTGTATTTGTTGTCACGGTAGTTGGTTATCACATTCGTGTTTGTTTGTATGCAATGTTATTGGTGTCATTATGACCTATACGGATTTGTGTTGTAGGCTATCAAGCTTTTCTTTGGTTTCATTAGTTTCCTCCCTCACCAATTTTATGATTTATTTCTATTTTCACACAATTTTCACAACTTCACATTTTTTTGTTTCCGTACTTCACATTTTTCTGGTGTTAGATTTTCCTGATTTCGTAGTATTTTTCTAATTAATTTTAGTGACATCAACTGGGGCTCGAGATGTACCATAGAAATTCTGACATTACCTGGTGTCCAAATATTAAATACATATCTATAAAGAAGTTTGTTTAGACGTCTAATACTGAAGTTTGTGTGTATGTTTACCAGGGTATGTGTACGATCGTATGTGCGTGTGTGTTAATTTTGCCAGATTGTGTGTATTTGTATATGTTTGTGTACGTTTTTATTGTACATGTATGCCAGAGTATGTGTGCCATTGTATATAACGTGTTTGTGTGTGTCATGTGTATATACGTCAATATATGTATGTGTTTTATTTTTGTGTGTAAGCCTTGATGATGTGTTTACACGTGTATATGTGCACGTTAGTTTACATGCGTGTATGTATATTATTATGAATATGCGTGTACAAAAGTTTGTGTTAGTGTTTCCGTCGATTTCTTTGAGTCTACGTGCGTTTGTGTGAATACGTAATTGTGTGTGCATTAGTAAGTACAGGTGAGACTATCCCCGTGTACAGGTGCGTGAATGTATTAACGTGTGGTTGCGTGTGTTATAGACTACTCAACATATGGCCCCAGTGGGGCCATATGTGCTTTACGAGAGGTACAACAACGTATAGACTTAACCTCTTGTGTTTTAGACTTCACAACAGTTACTCTTCCACCTATATGTACAGAACCTCCGCCCTCGTATGAGTTACTTTGGTTAGAACCGGAAGTTTTGGAAGATATTGATAAATTCACTGAGAAAAAGAGATACATGATGGTATTTGTTTCTTAAAGAGATTAGGTTTAAATATCATTACACACACATCAGGTTTTTATAATCGAAAGAAATATTGTATTTAGTACTAGCTATAAATCGCTCACGTTATTTCCAAAAGGTTTCTATATTTTATTCCAGTGATACAACTAAACTTATTGATTCTTTGAAGTATTAATGTTTATTTATGCAGTTTTACCAATCTCTTAAGAAATTCCTCAGAGTTAAAATAGTCTTGATAATATACTGTTGATATTTGAAATAGTTTGTTTATAAAGATAAACCATTAAACGTACTGTATAAGAACCAAGTTAGATCGTACTGATTTGTGAAAGAACAACGGACTTATTAACACAGATATAAAACGGAGCAACATTTTTTGTAACTGGCAAAAATGTAAGTAACTGGCATTATTTTATGTAACTGGATTTGTTTGATTTCCATTTTTTATATCTGTACAGTATTCAATTATCGTAATTCTCGGAGAGTTCTAAACAGCGGACACCTCTCCACATCCCGCTCAGTTTTTAGGGCCAGTCTGCGAGAGATAACCGGGAAAGCACTGGGAAGGCGATAAAATAATAAGCTCAGTAAGATGAAAAGACGTCAACACGAGGCAGTCTTTGACCATTGCTTCCTGGGGGTGTAAATGAGTGAAGGTTGGTGACGTCATCTGGAGTGTTGAGGAGGAGCTGAAATACTGGTTGGTCTCGACCGCAGCCACACCCAGCTGTCTGAAGGAGAGTGAGGAAATTACCTAAAACATATATACGTGCATATACATACATAAGTAGGTACTTAAGACATACACACACACAAAATACAAACATGAATCAAATACTGATATAAATATATTCAGACGCAAACATGCATACATATTCATTCATACAGGCCCGTACGTATACAACATATACGCACACATAAAAATCCTTAATACATACAGATGCACAAGTACACATATGCATATATACATACATACATACGTTCTAATACGATCCTCTTTACAATTTATGCAAAGTACACACATTAATTAGGTAACTATCTGCAACACTGAAGTATGTAAAACATTGTTATTTAGCATGCATAATACGTTGCAGCTTAGCATTCTTGTGCAACTGGACTTGGTAATGCAGCGCCGCCCGAGTTTAGGCACTTCATGATGTCCAGATGATTAGCATACTGAGTGTGACACATAGTACTGATATTCCTTAACAAGAAAAAGGTGAATAATTAATAGACAGAAAATAAGATTAATATATGTTGATATTACTAGGAAAACAAGAGTATAATCCGACTGGGTATACTGGTGTGATATAAAATATAACGATATGATAATCCTAGGAAGAAAATCACAGGAGAGGTTTGCCTTCACTGTGTGTCTTGTGTTATGCGTGCGGTTGATGTAATATTGAGAAAAAAATTCATAATAATTAATGAAAACCCCCGCATTATGTAGGAGGTGAGGTCGATGTGATTATCGACCAGAAGGTGTAAATAATACAAACAGTTGCGTAATAAATGTGATGGAGAAATAATTACGGCCTGGCAACCCACATAAACACTAGCCTTGTCAACAAATTATTGAGGAATGAATTAGGTGGTGGATCACTGCCACTACCTGACCGTGGATCGTATTAGCTAATTATAATGATTCAGCGGATCACCACCACCAACACACAGTGGATCCTGGTAGCTAACTACTAATGATTCAGATGTCTGTATAGATGTGTGTCATTATATACTAGCAGTTCATTAGTTATATATATGGGGTGTATACGTAACTCATATATGGGACATTTCCATAATGCGTAGCTAACTGGTCATGCACAATTCATTCTGCATTTCTGGGCCATATTGTATATCATTCTATTGTATTTAATTTTATATAATGACATTTTATTGTATATCATATTATATACCTGGCTTCCCTTTGATATCATTCTATATACCTGGCTTCCCTTTGATATCACTCTGTATACCTGGCTTCCCTTTGATATCACTCTGTATACCTGGCTTCTTTAAGTAATTCATTTCTCAAAGGGACTGGGCGTCGATATGTTAACATGAGTGGCGCCATATACTGGTTATTTCTCTTCATATATGCAACTCACTGGTCTCGCATATAAGCAGCTCGCTAAATATATGTGACTCCTCTTAAGCACCTGTTTGGCTGTATATATGTGTCAGAAGAGCAGGTAACGCCACACACACACCAACCTGTCACCGTCGCTGCAGTCACCATTATCATAATCATCATCATCATAATCATCATCATTAGAGTCATTACCGTCTGGTTTATAATTGGCCCGGCGTCCTTGTTGGTGTTGTTGGGAGGGGGGAGGGAGGGTTGGTGAGAGGGAGGGATGGTGAGAGAGATGGAGGGATGGGTTGGAGGTGAGGGATGGGTGGGAGGTGAGGGATGGGATGGAGAGGGGGAAGGAAGAAAGAGAGAGGGAGAAAGAAAGATAGGGAGGAGTGAACGTGAGAAAAAGGGTACGGAGAGAAAAAAGTGGAGGGGACAGAAGAGAAGGTGAAAGAAGGAAAGAGTAAATAGAAGATGGGAAGGATAAATGAGAAAAGGATGAAAAGAGAAAAAAAATGGGAAGGCTAGGAATAAAAACTATAGAATAGTAGGAGAGGAAGAGGTAAAAGAATGAGGGGGGAGCAATTGGAGGGAATAGGTTAAAGAAAGAAGGGGGAGGTACCAGGAGGGAAGAGGTTGGGAACAAATGAGAGGTTAAGAGAGTTAAAGATACAAGCCTGCTGACAATGCATTCATTAACCTGCAATTTGGCTGTGGCCTCCAGCTCGTAGCTAGCGTCAAAAAGCCCCACTTTCTAGCATTAATAGTAGCCTAGGAAGCTATTAGCTCATGTCGTCCAGGGGTCCACCTCCAATTTCCTTGGTGCTTCGCTACCCAGTTTACCACCCAAGTTCCAGCACCACTTAAAGGCCTCCTAGTCCCAGTAACAAACCAAACTAACATCAAACAAAATGTAGTCCACTTCCTCACCCCCCACCCCCATCCTCCCCTACAACCACCTAACTACACCTCCTCATTTTCCCTTACCTCCACCTACCCACACCCTCTCCAGTGTAATTAAAACTACTCGTAGCCAATTCTCTCTCCCTGGCTTGGGTTCTTCTCCATCGCCAGAAATCTCACACCTGTAGCAGAGCCTCAAGCGACCTTCCCATCCTCACCATCACCTTCAGCGTCACCACACACATCCCTTAGATAGATAGTTTACCTCATTATTGCTAAGCCGCTGAAGTTACTGTAGTTTTTTATTGAACTTTATCTTGTTCAGGTTTTCCTCCCCAACCTTGCAAGACAACGTGTTTTGCCTGTAAACTCTCTTCCCCATCAGCTTGTCACTAACCCGGGCGTTCACCTTCCCCAAGAGATGATTAAAATGTGATCGCTGATAGAGTTTAGACTCTCGCCTTCTTGACCTTGACTTCTGACATAACTTTTTTTTTATGAAAATGACTTGAGCTATTGGAGCAGTATTAAGAGTATTGTGTCTCTCCTGGTCGTGACAGAGGGAGTAAGAGCACTGTAAGCCAGGACTGATGTATCGGTAGAGTGGCGGGAATCTTGAAGGAACTGTGAGGACTGATTGACTGAGCCTCACACACACACCTATTACAATAATCTTCCCGCGCCTCGGGGAGTTAAGTTAATAAGGAGTTGAAATACTGAATAAAAGAAACTAAATTAGAGATTTTGATAACATTAGTAATTCCTGCGCTATCCCTTTACCTGCAGCCAGTAACCTGTACAATCTGGCCCCAGCAGGAGGTGTGTCGCCGCCCCCATCGCCACCTACAGCAGCGTCTCCAGTACCCACTATGGCACCTGGGCACGGAGCGTCCAGTCCTGGGGCAGGCTTGGCCAGCCTCCACCACGCCATCCACGGCCTCCACAACCTCCACAATCTCCACAACCTACAAAACTTTCACAACCTGCAGCAGAACCTACAGACGCAGATGGCAGCGCTAGCGGGGCTCCAAGGTGGTCTTGGAGTCCCAGGCGTCGGCTCCCTCCTACACCCTCACCTAGCCCAACACAACCCAGGTGAGTACCGTAATACACCTAAACCCTCAACTCGCGTAAAACATTCTACACTCGCACCTGGCTCGGCAGTACTCAAAGGTGTATTCTAGTCTAGATGATCACAACACTGGACGACACCCTCACCTACACCCACACCACATTTTCAGTTCCTGCCTAACGCTGACAACACCTCTGCACCTTCACCTTCCCCTGAGCAGGTGTCTTGAGGTGGGTTAACCGGGTTATCAAAGCAAGAATTGCATGCATAATGAATAACGAGACAGGTAAACGGAATATCAGTGGTTAATCAATGCAAATTACAGTTTTATGGTCCTGATTACCTGCTGAGTACATATAAAATATTATCCCTGCCATGATGCACATATAATCACCATTACTGCTTAACATATTACGCTGCTATAGCCAGGACATAAACTATATAATAATTAGCTCTTCCACTGGGAGGATCTCTTATATAGACGCCAGTAATAAATTTACGTCCGACTCTCCAGAAACGTGTGACCTCCAGGTGGGTTAGCCCTTGGCGCCCATGACGTAAGCTATCTTGACCTCCACTTTTATGATTTTGTATTTATGACCTCAGTTATCATGACGTCAGCTTTCAGTAATAAACTTTCATTACGTTAGCTTTCATGATTTTCACTTTCATGACTTCAACTATCATGACACCAGCTATCATGACCTCAGCTATCATGACCCCAGCTATCATGACTTCATCTATCATGAACCACATTATATGACCTCAAAGTCCAACGTCATGGTCTTGCCTCCATTCTCAGCTGCGGCGGCGGCGGCGGCGGCGGCGACGGCGGCGGCGGCGGCAGCGACGGCGGCGCAACCTCCCCCCGGCGGCCTCAACAACTCCGCGGCAGCCAACAACGCCTCCACCGTCCCCCAGATGGTGCTGACCTCCGGACATGTCACGCAGGGTGTCCAGGGTGCCCAGCTCCTCGTTCCCACCTCCCAGGGTCAGTAGCCGCCCCTCCCCTGCCCTCCCAGGGTCAGTAGCCGCCCCTCCCCTGCCCTCCCAGGGCCAGTAGCTGCCCCTCCCCTGCCCTCCCAGGGCCAGTAGCCGCCCCTCCCCTGCCCTCCCAGGGCCAGTAGCCGCCCCTCTCCTGCCCTCCCAGGGCCAGTAGCCGCCCCTCCCTCTCTTCCAGGGTCAGTAGCCACCTCCCTCTCCTCCCAGGGCCAGTAGCCCCCCCCTCTCTTCCCAGGGTCAGTAGCCGCCCTCCCCTCTCCAGGGCCAGTTGCCCTCTCTTCCCAGGGTCAGTAGCCGCCTCCCTCTCCTCCCAGGGCCAGTGGCCGTCCCAGGCCAGTAGCCTCCCCTCCCTCTCTCTTCCCAGGGTCAGTGTGCCTCCCCCCTGCTCCAGGGCCAGTAGCAGCCCCTGCCCTCTCTTCCCAGGGTCAGTAGCCGCCCCTCTCCTCTCCTCCCAGGGCCAGTGGCCGCCCCTTCACTCACCTCCCAGGACCAGTAGCCTCCCCTCCCCTTTCCTCCGAGGGCCAGTCGCCGCCTCTCCCCTCAGTGACCACAAGTCCCATCCTAGAGCCAGATCCCCTCCCAGGGTCGAGATTCAGTAACTCTCAGGTCGTCTCCCAGAGTAAAGTCCCCCAGCTTTACTTCCAGGGTCAGTAAGACTCAGTAGGCGCTGCTCCTCCTTCATTCTTAATTACGTTTAGATTAACAATTGCATATATTTGACTAGTTGGGTTTAAACATAGATCAGGGTTATGTTCTTTATTTAAGACTCGAGAATACAATAACTCGCTTGATAATGTTTCGCTGAAGCAGCCAAACCTTGCAATACCATATCAGACAACGAACACTGTAGTTTTGTGTTGTTCTTTAATGTTTTCCTTATTATTATTATACCTATTGCACGTCTTCTTTCAATAATAGTCAGCTGCAACAACGTTAGAGAACACTGTAAGGTTATCAACATCCAGTGTGAGCATCGTGGTAGTCAACCAGTTTCAATGTTAGGAGACCTCTAAACTAGTTTCAACATCTAAGTACTTATCTTATTTATCATTCATGAGCTAAATAAACCATCCCATCACAACTCTAAAACATTTTAATCACAGTTTTCAACACTTAATGAATTATTTCCAGTTTGCGAACATCGTCATCCAGCATTGTTACAACCATCTTCATTATTCAAACAAGTTTTCCCTTCACCTTAACAATGTTTTCTTACACTCTAACATCACATTCCAGTACCCTGACGACTATTCCAGTACCATCAACTCTCTCGAGCAATTTTGCGGTCATTGCCAGGAATTATGATCTTTTTCAACATTCTAAAACATTTCCATCAACTTAAAAACCCTTCTAGTACTCTCTTGATTTCCAACTAAGTAGAAATATTATCGCGCTCTAACAACGTTCTAATCACTAGTTCCCTCTTATTAACATGGCTTATTTACGCCTTTTTTTTTTTTTCTCGTGTTTTGACACTACCAACCCCCAGCAGGCTCTACTAGAAGGCTGGCGGCCTTTTCCTACATCTATACAACGCCCTTATTGAGGTCGACCTAATTTTCTGAACACATAAACTACATTTCCTGTTATGTGATCATATTTCCAGACCTCTATAAACTTTTTCCAGTAATTTGATTTCCAGCCTCTAAGAACATCTTCTACCTTTATTTGTTCAGCCGATAAGAACATATTCCAACTCTGTGATCCAATTCACTAGCCTCTATAAGTACTTTCTTTCGATGTCACTCCATGTTCCAACCTTTAAGAACATTTCCTACCCTTTTAATCGTATTTTTTAGTCTCTTGAAACATTTTCCAAGACTCAAATAACCTTCTTCAACAGGCATTGCAGTGCAACCCATCTTGACCATTCCTTTGGGTCAAGCCGGAGTACAAGGATCCACGCTGATGAACCCACTTGTACCCCTTCACCACCTGCCCCAGCCCGGCCCACATCCCCAGCACACAGGTAAGTCCGTCCCTAGTACACGACACCCAGGTACCTACATAAACTCCCCACTACACAAGTCAGCTTTACCAACATCTGTAGTCTAAAATGGCACGAAAATTTTCTCGATTATATGCAGATGAGTTAGTGGTATGGTTGACAGGTGTGGTGGTATGATCGACAGGTATGGTGGTATGGTCGACAGGTGTGGTGGTGTGGTCGACAGGTGTGGTGGTATGGTCGACTGGTGTTGTGGTACGCGCGACAGGTGTAGCAGTACGGTCAATGAAGCAGTTGTTCAACGAAAAGATTGGCTAAATGAATGAAGGGTTAACGAAGGGTATAAATCAGAAAGTCCAATGTGGAAAATAATAAAGGAAAGGGTTCTGAAGTCAACGAAATAAAAGGTTCAACGAGATTAAGGCTCAGCGAGAGGAAAATTCAGTGTACGGGAAGCTCAACGAAAGAAAGAGTCAATCTGAGGAAGGGGTTAACGAAAGGAAAAGGAAAGGGTTAACGAAAGGAAAAGGAAAGAGGGCGGATTGTCGAAATAAAAGATTAACAAGGAGGAAGTCTCAACGAGGGAAAGGGTTAACGAAGGGGAAGAGTTGACGAAGGAGAGAGTGAACGAGGGGTTTAGGTGTATTCATAAGAGGTGTAGTAGTGGTCAGTTAATGGGGAAGATCATTATGTGTTAAGAGGTCAAGTCGAAGCTCCTTACTCTTTATTGGAGGGTGTGTGTGTATGGGGGTGTGTGTGTGCGCGCGCGTGTATGTATTGTATGTGTGGGTGGGTGTGTTTACGTATGAAAGAAGCTGTGTTTGCTATTGATTGTTTGTCTCTATGTCAAAATATAATCTGAAAATGACAGACAAACAAATCATACATTGACTGATAGACACAAACAAACCGACAAAGTTTCTACAAAAGTAAACAATAAGAGACCCGTCAACACCAAATCCCCGTAAACATTTAACATTTATGACAAATTATGCCCTGACTCTTCCATTACTCATTACAGTATTGAAGATCGCATTATTTTTCTTCCTAAATCACATCAGCCAGGCGGCATAATGTGTTAAGAATTTAAAAGCATATTCACTTGCATTACGGGGTCATGAAGTGTGAGGTATGGTACGTTATGGGGTCATGAGGTGTGAGGTATGGTACGTTATGGGGTCATGAAGTGTGAGGTATGGTACGTTATGGAGTCATGAGGTGTGAGGTATGGTACGTTATGGGGTCATGAGGTGTGAGGTTTGGTACGTTATGGGGTCATGAGGTGTGAGGTATGGTACATTATGGGGTCATGAGGTGTGAGGTATGGTACATTATGGGGTCATGAGGTGTGAGTGATTAGTTACCTAGTTTATTTCACCTGATTATTAACCACCCTAATGCTGCCTGGAGGGTTAGGTTAAGTTAGCATTAAGTTAGGTTAAGTAAGCGTTCGATTAGATAAGTGTTAGGTTTGGTTAGCGTTAGGTTGAGTTAGTGTTAGATTAGCATTGAATTAGGTTAGGTTAGGGAGGGTTATATAGTGAAATAAGCTGGGGGACCTAATCATCAGGTGATCCATAAGAAGAAAGGAAATTTTGGATATTTTTCAGTCGGTATTTAGTACTGCGCGCTGTGTCCTGTTTCCACTAAAATAGAACTCCGTCTCTTGGCCAACACGTAACATATCTGATCAGGATTTCTGACAATATTCGTTATTAAGTTGAGATTCGCCCAAACTTGTACAGTGAATCATTTCAAACGATGTGAAACGATTTTGATGAAACCTGGAAAAAGGATTAGATGTTGACAAAGGAAAAAAAAACTAATTGAATTTAATAAATGTAGGTTATGGGTCAAGGACAAATTTCTTGACATAAATTTAATTTCCCAGAGATTTAAGAAAATGGCTTCTCTTGACATATAATACATTTTTATGTTCCTAAAAACCTGTATGTTAAGCGAATGTATGTAAACCGGATGTACGTTAAGCGAATGTACGTAAACTGGATGTACGTTAAGCGAATGTTCGTAAACTGGATGTACGTTAAGCGAATGTACGTAAACCGGATGTACGTTAAGCGAATGTACGTAAACTGGAGGTACGTTAAGCGAATGTACGTAAACCGGATGTACGTTAAGCGAATGTACGTAAACGTGTTGAACGTAAAGTAGACACTGACAGTACTCGTATATAATAAACTACTATATGCTTCAGGTAGTTATAATACTCACAGGGGTATATCAGCTCCACCTATGATATACCTGGGAGCCTTATTAATACAATATGTCTAAGACTCCTCAGTAATCTCACTTCCAGCTCAATGCTTTACCCTTATAAAAAATATTTGTATAAAGTGGGTTTTTTTCCTTCAAGCAAATTCTCAAAACTATATGTCGAATATGTTTCAGAAATTAAGTTAAAATCGTCGGTAAATATGTCCCCTCGTCGCCGTAAACACTAGTGATAATGCACTTGACTTAACTGTGAAGGTTTTAATGTACTTCAGCATGCAAGAACGTATCACTTAAGATGATCATATAGACGAGAGGAAGGAAGGAGAGTAACTACGCATATGCACTCACTACATATCATCACATACTCACTGTACACCACACACACACACTATCACAGTCACTATACACCACACACTCACCACCACCACACACTCACCACCACACTAGATAAGCCCAATGCTTCTGGTGTTGGGAACGACTGCTAGATGACTTAAGTAAAACCCTCATAGCAGCTATTACTGATAATTTTACCGAGTGTCATTGACGTGTGTGTTCGTGCGTGTGCGTGTGAGAGAGACTCATTCCTCAGTGATGTGCTCCACATTATTTTCAATCAAGTCATAATATTTTATCTTCCTCAATATGTGTATTGCTCCTAAATATTGTTCTTGTTAAAAAGACAATTTTTTTCATGTTCCTTCTCAACTGTTGGTAATCGTAGAAGTAAATAAATGTTAATATTGTGGTTCCTACATTTTGAAAGCTCTACGACATGTATTTAGAAAGAATTGCGACGACCTAAACCTTTGAGTACAATGACTGAACCTCTTGAACATGATGCCTTAACTCATTTGAATACGTTAATCTATTCACTTGTGTTATATGACTTCATAGGTTAAGTGACCGTACTCAAGGGTTAAATTATTATTATTATTATCATTATTATCATTGTCGTTGTCTTGAGAAATGTTAGCTCCTGTAATGGTAATGGTAATTCGATACCTGCCACCTCTCACCCCCCTTCATTCCTACCGACCCCCCCCCCCAACACACTGAGGAGTTTCATTAGTGAGAATTTGATGGTGAAAACTGTAGCTTGAAGATGTAAATAATGTCATTATCAACACTTATTTTTTTGTTTTCTCTCTTTCCTTCCACCGGCCTTGATCCCTCCCTTCCCTCCTCCCTCCTCCTCCCTCCCCTCCTCCCTCCTCCCTCCCTCCTCCTCCCTCCCTCCCTCCCTCCCTCCCTCCCTCCCTCCCTCCCTCCCCTCCCTCCTTCTCTCCTCCTTTCCTCCCTTCTCTCCTCCCTCCCTTTCCTCTGTATCTTTAGCTTACTTTAAGAGCACCATTAGACGAAGAGTTAACTGGAAGAGTGTCTGTGTGTGTGTATGTGTGTGGTGGGGGGAGGTGTGAAGGCTTCAGAGAGGACATACAGCTAAGCAGTTGGCCCCTAACAGCATCATCAGTGTAATTACGTAAGTCAAGAGAAAATTTCCACCTTATTTTTTTAGGTCTTCCCTCCTCATGTGACGAGCCAGTTACTACCTCATTATTTCTCTCTCTCTCTCTCTCTCTCTCTCTCTCTAAACACACACACACACACACACCCATTTATTATTACCATTACTACTATACAGTACCTGGTACTGGGAGGCTTGGTATTATTTTTTTTTCTGTCTGTCTGTCTGTCTGAATTCTTGTGTGTTCTCAAAATAAGTCGAGAACGAGTTTGCGGATTTGCACCAAACTTGGTAGGTTTGATCATAACGAGACAAGGTCCACATGATAATAGTTTTGCCGAAAATCGTGTTAAAATTGACCTATTGTTACCATCGTAACAGTTCGCAAAAGGGTAACTCAGACTTTTTCAGCAGTTAAGGAAATCGATAACATGAGGCAGTCTTCAGCGGTGACTGCATTAATTACCAGTAACAGTGTTTAAATGTCGAAATTTACCCTGTCGAATACCACCAATGCCTTTCGAACCTTAAATTTACAAAGGTTCAAACAACGACGACAAGATTAGTGTCTCAGATGTGGTAGAGAAATACTACCTAACCCCAAACACCAACACTACCTGCCACCCAGCACAAACACTACTAATACACACAACTCACGCCACACACAACTGTTGGTCCAGCCAAGGTTCAGGTTTCACCGCTACAATAAGTTAACAATCTTGAATATAAAACGCTAACTTAATAATCTATAACGATCTTACCTTGAGCTTACCAAATTTCTCACTATCTTAAGACTTTCTCCCCTCATAGTCTTCTAATCTGTAGCCTTACTAGAATATTAATGTGTTGTGGCTACTTCTGTACTTAACAACTGAATCCTTTAGGCACGTAAAATACATCAGTTTGAACATAATAATCTCTTAATCATTGATGTATTGATGTAGAAACAAGCTTCAATAGTTATGGTCTTTAAGCACAGAACATAAAGTCAGTTTCTACACAAGACTAAATCTATAAAGCTTAGTTGCGTGACATTACCGAGTTATACAGTACAGAGTTTTACCGATATTTCACTGTTGTACATCCGGGGATTAAATAGGGTCATATACTCCTATATTGCATCATTTATTGCTTTGAATGATTTCGTGAATAATAGCAAACTGATATGCTAACCAAACCAAACTTAACCTAACCTAATCTAATGTAAACTGTCATAAACTAACCAAATATAACCTTATATGACCTTACCTAATTATTTAACACACACACACACACACACACACACACACACACACACACACACACATGGAGCAGAACACCTCATATATATTAAATTTTGAACCATGGAAGTCAGTAATAAGTCGTCTGGACTGATCTCGAGTTACGTACAGTACTTCTCTGTTGATGACCCTGGCTGTATACAACCATCCTGGCCTTACCCGTAAAAGTACAGACATGAGGTAAAGATGCCTAGCTAGCTCGTGTGGCCATCACTAGCATGTCGTACGTTCTATAAAAGTGGGCGAGTGGAAGGCTGGTGTGGAGAGGAACGTCAGACTCTCTTCATTGCTCGTACTGGCGCTCATTAATCAGCTGAAGCCGGCATCTCCCCTCCCGAGCCACCAGTTGACCTCCTGGGCCACCAGCTAACCTTCCGAACCAACAGCTGACCTTCCGGGCCACCAGCTGAACTTCTGGGCCACCAGTTAACCTTCCGGGCCACCAGCTGACCTTCCGTGGCACCAGTTGACCTCCCGGGCCACCAGCTAACCTTCCGAACCAACAGCTGACCTTCCGGGCCACCAGTTGACCTCTCAGGCCACCAGTTAACCTTCCGGGCCACCAGTTGACCTCTCAGGCCACCAGTTAACCTTCCGGGCCACCAGTTGACCTCCCGGGCCACCAGCTAACCTTCCGAACCAACAGCTGACCTTCCGGGCCACCAGTTGACCTCCCAGGCCACCAGTTATACAGCCGCCACTCCCAGTCGGCTGCTGTTCCTTATTAACACACAACAGTCACTTTACGAGTGATAACAATACAGACAACAATGAAAATAATAGAAATAAAAGATAAAAATACATAATTATCCGCCTAATTGCACAAATATATATATTATTTACTGTTGCTTATATATCGAGAACTCTCAACTGTGCCCCCATTACCCCGTCGATTGGTCTGTTACATATTCTTGAACTTCAGTAAGTCCAGAGAAAATTATGCGGATTTGCGAGACTAGAATGCAGGGTTTTGCCGCGCTGAGACTCAACTCATTATGGTGTCTAGTTACCAAGTTAATTTGTTGGTAAGCATGATTTAATTAAACTCTCCCTCTGCTTTGTTATGATACTCGCTAATTCCTTTTTTTTTTTCGGGGGGGCTGGCGGCAGTGTTGGTCCGTCCACTAGCGGCCGGAGGCTCAAGTATTTACAGTATACGTCTCATAAACCATTCGGAAAAAAATTGGAATTTTGTGAATAGTAAAATCCAAGACATTTTCAGAAATTCACCATTACAAGAGTTTTGATATATACACAAGAAAAAAAACTTATCGTTTTATGGATTCAGTAAAAACACTAATTTTGTGAACGTCAACATTAATAAGTGACAAGTGATTAATAATAACATGATATTAGTTATTTTGACCTTGGTAGAGTTCAGTTGTGAGTGAGTGAGTGAGTGAGTGTGTGTGTCTAAGATGACTACTGAGAACTTGATAAACCAACAAGAACATAATTACTCCATCATTAACCTTGCTAATCTACTCATGGTTAATTAGTTACGGGGTCGTCGATGATACTAATGACGACAATTTACTCAAGTTTTACATTGCTCGTGAAGCATTTGTTTAAGACACTTTCGGAAACTGTCTCGAATAAAAAAATACATCCGGTATGTATATGAAAGTAAATATGACAAATATTAATAGTAATATTTATTATTATTATTATTATTATTATTATTATTATTATTATTATTATTATTATTATTATTATTATTAAGAGCAAATATACAGTAATATTAAATTGAAAGAAAAGGTGGAAATGTGAAGAAAAAATAGAGAACCTGAAAAGTTTTGCACTACACAATCACTAAAGATTTTGTATTTGCTCGGAATATTTTCTCGTTGATTTTTAAATTTCTAAATATTGAGAAAACAAAATCAGGAATTAAATGTCGAGATGAACTTTTAGGCTGAAGTTTAGTTATAAGAACAGATATGAAGTTTATCTGTATAATTTAAGCATTACCGTTGAACTCCTGTACATCCGTATCCCCCAAACTATATCTGTATATAAAACTTGTCATTAGTATATTACTAAATCTATCGTGTCTATGAGTTAACGACACCATAATAAGGTGACGGGAAAGTTGCCTAAGAATTTTTTCTATCAATAATACAGTTTTACCCTGCAAAAAATATGAGATACGTCGCCATAATTTCAAATGAATAAATTATTATTATTAAGCGTTCAACATCGTATGGGTATTGGTGACGCAACGGGGTACGAGCCGGGGGGGTGGGTGGGTATATCAATTCAGTGTACAATACGTAGGATCTTTCTTCACTTGGTGTACACTGGGTCAGGTCTTGCTTCATACATTGTACTCTGGGTCAAGACTTGCTTCATACATTGTACTCTGGGTCAAGTCTTGCTCCATAGATTGTACACGGGGTCAGATCTTGCTTCATATATTGTACACTGGGTCAGGTCTTGCTTCATATATACTACACTGGGTCAGGTCTTGCTTCATATATACTACACTGGGTCAGGTCTTGCTTCATATATACTACACTGGGTCAGGTCTTGCTTCATATATACTACACTGGGTCAGGTCTTGCTTCATATATACTACACTGGGTCAGGTCTTGCTTCATATATACTACACTGGGTCAGGTCTTGCTTCATATATACTACACTGGGTCAGGTCTTGCCTCGGTTGCTGTATACTGGTGTCTGGTATGCTAATAAGCTGGACAAGTCTCTCATCTTTATTTCTCTCATTACATCGTTTTTTCAAGAGCAGCGTGTCTGAACGGAGAGTAAAGCTACCTGGTGAAGTGCTGTTGTTCGTTTGTATCTAGTGGGTAGAGTGAGAGAGAGGAATTGAGCGACAGGACAGTGTGACGAGAGGGAGAGTGTACAAGAAATGACGAAAATATATCTTAATAAAAAGTAAAAGCTACACACACACACACACACACACACACACACACACACACACACACACACACACACACACACACACACACACACACGCGCGCGCACACACACACAAACGCGCGCGCACACACACACGCGCACACTAATATTAACAGCGTGGTCTTAGTAACATAAAAAAGTAATATAACTTTTTCGTTTTGTTTTCTTTTGCAGGTTCTACAAATTCTTCGCCACTGCCACCTTCTTCCTCCTCTAACTCCTCTTCTTCCTCCTCCTCCTCTTCCTCCACAGCGGCCGCCCCTCATCCCCTCTTGGGTCTGGCCGGCATCCCGCCCTCCCTATTCCACGCCCACCACGTCCACAACAACAACAACAACAACAATAACAACAGTAATAATAATAACAACAACAACAACATGGGCAGTGACAAATCTAAACTGCCCCTCCCCCTCTCCTCCCCAGTTACAGGTGAGTTTGCTTCTTTGTTTTTTCTTGTTTTACCTGTATCATCAAATTCAACAGCTTCCACCTGCGTAATCAACTTCAAACTACCTTACTGTATGTCCCCTATAATATGTATCATTAATTCTAGACTGACTCACTCGATCATTTTCTTCAATCATGTATCCATGTGTCGACATTATACAGTATCATTACTTGTCTGTGTTCCTTGTTCTCCTACACGAAATTATTAACTGCTAATTCCTGTACCCACTGAGGTCTTGAAAATACTAACTGCTAATTCCTGTACACTCTGAGGTCTTGAAAATACTAACTGCTAGTCCCTGTACCCACTGAGGTCTTGAAAATACTAACTGCTAATTCCTGTACACTCTGAGGTCTTGAAAATATAGATTATTTTTGTTGTAGAAATTCGGGGTTAACAACAATAACAACTGTTCAATTTTATACAACCTGATATATATATATATTTCGTTTATCTTAATTCACTTTAACCCCGTTTTCTTTATGGCTTCCAGCTGATCCCGTGGGTGGTTTGGGTGGCAGATTAGGCGGCCACTACCCAGCACCGCCCCCGCCACCAGCAGCTAGATACTCACCAGACTTCCTTGACAACCACAGTGAGTATTACCGTGACGATATTCTCTCATTATAACAATATTACACTATTTGTTTAGGCTGTTTGCATCTACTTATGAAACAGAAGCCTTTGGAGAGATGATGTAACAAAACTCCCTTATTTTATATACCATTTAAGCAAAACTTCCTTGTTTTATATCTCACAAGCGCCGGTATCCTCTGCATCACATTTGTTCTTATAATTTCATTTGATATGTAATATTAACGCCACAAATATATATGCCAGCTCGGTCGTGCGGTAAGGAAGGTGTTAATGTTAGTAGGGGGAAAAACACGGGTGACCAAGAATCAGTCTTATGTGCATTAGTGCCGGCTGGTCTGTGCGAGCCGGGAAAATCCTCTCTGGCTTTTAGGCTCACTAAGATTGCCTGGTGTTTACAAGCTAATGACAGAGAGTATCATACTGATCAGTGAATGATTTATACCAATGTTTATATCACGATTGATCTTATTAAGTTGATAATACTGATAACAGGACTAATAGTTATCTTATGAAATTCATTATTTTCTTGCGTGATATTAATTTCATTGGTAGGTAGAATGAGAATATCAATACGTACAGCAAAATTCGTACACCTGGCAACAACTTACCTACGGTGTCTGTATGTTGCTCATCAGCAAACAAAAATTCTGTCAGTCAATATGTCAGATAATAAGTCAGGATTGGTATTCATACAGCTGACTGACGTATCAGATAGTACGTTTGATTGCATTTTTTCACACAGTAATAGAGTATATATGTGTATAAGGTGATGGAAAACCCCCTGTTGTTCCTTGTAATACCCAGAGTGTGATAAGTAGAACGAGGTAAATAACTATAGTGTTTATTGTTGCTGGTACACGGAGACTTAGTCATTAATAATAAAAAAGCCCGTGGACAAAATACAAAAGAATCAACATTTACAAAGATTTGGCATTTATAACAGAAACCAGTCCTCTAAACGTAACAAAAGTGTGGCATTTACAAACACAAAAGACTGCATACTAACACAACAGCCCCTCATTCAATTAACTCGTTTTGATCTTTATTATCACTTAGATGATAATACTGACCCGATAATGATAATGTTCACCCGACGATAGTAATACTATAGTTAGTGATGACAGAAATAACAACCAGTCGGCGATAATCCAGTTTATTCAGCAACAATAATACTCATTTAGCAATACTGATCAAAGTTTAGGAATTATGATCCTCAGACTTATCCTCTCATGGTGGCTAAAGTCGGGGAACAAAAATGCTGAATATATATCTATTCACTTTCGTTCATTCCATCTTACTACTTTAAAAGAGATATGTTCTGGTATGATGTTCCCCTTCAATACAAACTTACAAATTATCAATGTGGTTTATCTCCTTCGCTTTACAAAATTTAGTGGAGAATACATTACGTCGGCTTCCTTCTCCACAAAGAACACCCGATGCAATGGTTTCCACTCATTCACGCACACCGCTGTTTATGGGGCAATTCCTTCACTTCCATCTTGTCTTTTCATATTAGTTTATTTATATTTTACTCTATGTTTATTTTTGATTGTTTCTTCTCCTCTATTATCTTTCTCCGTTTCTATTTACTTCCCTCCAGAATCTTTACATTTCTCAATCACTAATTCTCTCTTGTCCACCTTTACACAATCTTGCCTTTCACATCGTATCTTCCTGAGTATTATTCGGATCTTCCTAGAGCTCCTCCCTTCCCTCCTCCCCGTTTCATCTTCCTTCTTCCCTGTTTCATCTTCCCTCCTCCCTGTTTCCTCTTCCTCCTCCTTGTTTCCTCTTCCTCCTCCGTGTTTCCTCTTCATTTCCCTGTTTTCTCTTCCCTCCTCCGTTTCCTTTTCCCTCCTCCATTTCCTCTTCTCTCCTCTCCTTCATTTCCTCTTCTCTCCTCCATATCCTCTTCTCTCCTCCATGTTTCCTATTCCCTCTTCCCTCCTTTCCCTCCTTCTTTCCTCTCCTCTCTCCCCTTCTCTCTTTCCCCGACGTACACTTACTCAATGACCTCTACCTCATACCCAACTCTTGACCTCCAGTATCACGTGACTCCAGAACACATACGAGTATATTTCATGGTCCTCTGGTTCTTGTTTCCTCCAATCACATAATTATAATACTCATTATTCATCGTACTTCCTTAGCTCAAAACTCATGAAGCGGTAAACAGTGTAATACTCGTTCATCATTGGTAATATTCACATCTATCTATAATATTCACCCTATGATTAATAATATTCAATAGAACTACAGTGAAACTTATATTTAACGGTCTATGTTGAGAGGAAAATCCGTTATATCGAGGGCCCATTGGGTGTAAAACTTCCATCTAATGAAATATATTGGGATGAAAGTCCATTATATCGAGGGCCCATTAGACGTGAAATCCCCATCGAACGGATTACATAGAGAAAGAAATCCATTATATGGAGGTTTCTGTGTAATAACATTTTACTAGGGATAATTACTCCTGTTCAACGATAGTAGAACCTATATTGATAATAATACTAATTTAATAATAATACTTCCGTGGGAAAAATACTTACTCAACGATGATAGTACTTACTCAACGATGATAGTACTTACTCAACGATGATAGTACTTACTCAACGATGATAGTACTTACTCAACGATGATAGTACTTGGTATAATCGCCTATAATAACACCAACCCAAAGAATGATAATACTGAGAGATAATAATTCTTACCTAGCGATAATAATAAATAATAATACTCCTGCAGTGATAAGGATACTCACTAACAGTACTCAAATAGTACTCACCCAACGATTATAATACTCATCTAGAAATAGTAATCAATAACAATACTCCCCATGAGTACTTTACGAGCCATTGGAAGAAGACTTGGATAAACTATTTAAATGGATAGAGTATATGTTCATTAGTCTTGACACTGAATTAAAACTATGCTTATCTCTTGATCCTCCCCCCTCCCCCAAAGTATAAAAAATTTATTTATCTCTTGTGAATACTAAAGAGTAGATAGATAGAAAAGGAATGATTGGGGAGGGAAATGATAATAAATTTTGTGACTAAGAAAAGATGAATGAATAAATCGACAACAATTAATTATTACTGAAAATATTTGAATAAAAAATTACCATAGACACAAAAATACGAAAAAAAATAATCATTAGTACACAAAGGAAAGTGAAAAAAAAATACACAAAGTAAATAAATAAACTGTAAATATCTTAGAAAATTTCAATATAGAAACATGAAAAATAGCCAGAAAACGAAATACAAAATTTACGAAAAATAAATGAAAAAATAAAACAGAGAACTCTATTAAAACCTTCAACCCACGACTTATATTAACTTAGGGATGTATTAACAAAGCTTCATTAACTGTTATACTCGCTTTACCTGGTGTCATAATTGAGGAATCATTTACCTTGGCAGTACACAATTTGGGAGCCACCCGTCATAATGTATATTATATTAATGCAGCATAACACATAATGCCCCTGCACATTAAGTAGTGCACCTCTGGATGATATTATTATTAGCTTGGGTCTGGTGTTTGTACTATTGCTGCCACTATTATCTCTCTCTGTCTCCCAAATTAAGTTAAATTTAACCTTTATAAAGTAAAAGCGACAAACGTATGGAGTACCCGAAGTTAAATTATTGTAACATACTGAATATAAATCGATATCAGGCAGATTTTTCGCTAAGCGCTAAAAATGACCTTTGTATGGGTACTTCGTTAACTCAGGCGACAGAATTTTGCTTATTTTGTAACGTAGTTTTTAAATCACTAATTGAGTGAAGCTTTTCAGGTTGTGATCTGTTAAATGAAGCAGTAGAATGAAGCCTTTATTGCTCAATTTTCCTTCAAGCTACTGTTTAAATGCCTTTGACTATTAAACGAAGCTACCTAGGAAGCCTCTAAATCATGTTTGCATTAAAGTTGGTGAGAGTTTAAATATGTTTACATCGTGTTGATTGAAGCTTTTGAACCTAATATGTTAGCAAATGAAGCCCTACTTGAAGCTTTAAAACCGAATATACCCATGAATGACGCAATTTATAAAGCTTTTAAACCAAATATATCTACAAAGAAGCTCTGAATGAAGCATCTGAACCTTGTATGGCTAAAATGAAGCACCAAATAAAGCTAATGAGCTGACGAGATGATATAAATTGACACAAACTATATGAAGTCATGACTCTCCCTAAAACAGTCTCTTATATTACTCACTAAATATGGACTAAATTACTCGTGAATGTATTTTAGACTAGACCTGTAGGACCTATATAACAAGTAGATTATCTAATGTTAAAAGTGATGATGTTAAATAAACGTCGTGAAGTATGTTATTAAAGATTGGGAGGATTATTACGACACACACACACACACACACACACACACACCCACACCACACACACACCACACACACACACACACACACACACACACACACACACACACACACACACACACACACACACACACACACACCACACACACACACACACACACACACACACACACACACACACACACACACACACACACACACACACACACACACACACACACACACACACCCACACCCACACACACACACACACACACACACACACACACACACACACACACACACACACTATGATACATATTTCGCCTACGAATTATCAATTTTTTTGCGAGCTACTCATTTTATGTATCGTATTATCTATTGTTTGTTTTTTACCAATTTCTTCCATGGCTTAGTATCCATGTATTTAGGATTTATTCTATTCCACATTAAATTGTAAGTAGTGAAAGTGTGTCAGGACCACAGAGCTTATAATGTTCTGTATGTGTCGTTTGAGTGTATTGTAAATATTAAGAATTTTATGGTATGAAAGGTTGTGTGTCATAATGTAAATGTAATGGTTTGTGTATACGTGTGTGTGTGTGTGTGTGTGTGTGTGTGTGATCCTTATACTGCGTGTGGGGATGAAGTATTCACTGTAGAAACTCTTCCTCACACCATATGGATGAAATATGTTACAAGGCCACAGTCTCCCTCAACTCATTTCCCTACAGTATAACGTGTCTATCAACATGTTGGTAACTCCTTCACCCCCCCTTACTTACTTCCCCTACCCTTACCCCCTTTATGACGAGTCTTTAACGTGTTGGTATCTCTCTCTCTCTCTCTCTCTCTCTCCGCGCCCCCTTCATGACCGTTCGTGACGTCGTGATAACCTTGGCCTTCACCCCCCGTGTCTATAACCATGTCCTCCCTTGGCACCCTCCTCCACAGACCAGCCCACTATCAGCCAGTCTACAGGCAACCTGGTGGACGGCGTCAATCTAGATGAAATAAAGGAGTTCGCCAAAGCTTTCAAGATCCGCAGACTGTCTATGGGACTGACCCAAACACAGGTGGGGCAGGCTTTGAGCATCACCGAGGGCCCCGCCTACTCCCAGTCGGCCATCTGCAGGTAGGTCATTGTTTCCCTCCCTGCTGCAGCCACTACCCGCTGTACCGTTTCATAGTTATGTTGGATGCATTAGTTGATATGTTGCATGTGTTGTTGTAGCCAAGATCTGTCTCTACTAGTTACTTCATGAATGAATTTGTCTTATTTTTATCTTAATTAAAAAAATTATTGTATGTATTTTTTTCTATTTGCATTTTTTAATCTGCCATTTAATATGTTTAAGAATTATGATGCAACTAAATATTTCTCGAAGTTCATGGTAAAACGTAGTTTGTTTTCCATTGCTTATTTATATGTTCTCTACTCTATTTGTCCATTTCACTTAGAAAATATTGCATTTTATGCTATCTAATAGTAGACTTCAAATTTGTTATATTGTACCTCAATGATGACCTCGTTCATGCATGGATTCCGTCTTTCTAGGGTTCTCTCTTGCGCTCAAAATTTATTTAAATGTAAAACCGAAACACACAAGAAAAATCAATGAGATTGTTGCCAGACCCGTCAGAGATCACTCGACCTGACTAATAACATTAAGTCAACAAACTTTGCATTTGTTATGATGGGTCTTAACAGATTTAATGTCTTAGGGTCACCAGTTGTTTTAAGAAATACATGTTTTATAATCAATCAGGCGGACTGTTCATGTCCAAATGTGTCCCAGCCTAGCCTATATCTGCCAGGTCCTAGAGTATGCCAGTTTGATGTTGACTGTATAAAGTATAACTCAACCATTGTGTGTTTTGGTGCGGAGGGTGCAGCACATGCTACCCTAGTCACTGGGACTCCACTAAATTCAATTTGCTTCTGGTTTGAATTTGAATTTGTATGTTGTTCATGTGTCTCCAATACTAACATGCTAAAACTCATACTAATATACTCTCTCTGATGTCCTCTCTTTCGTTCCTGAACAAAACGATAGTCGCATGTTTCTCTTCGGTGTTTATGTGCAAGGCCATAATGTTCCTATAACTGAAGAATTAAACCAATAAAAAATCCGAAGAATTTCAAGATGAGGGAGCTTTGACTAGGGTGGCGAGCTGGGAGTACCTTACACGTCCCCGCGGCGAGGTTTACGAATGTAAACCAACTCTTACACAAACCTGAGATTTGGCCTACTAATGGGTGGTGGGCTTATACGCTGCCGTGTGCAAGACCCTTCACCAGACAATAATGCTTCACCCTCCGTTGCTCTTAGCCCACATGTATACTGCAACTAACAAATTGTGTAGATAATGACCAGTAGAGTAATGATGCTATGTAACAAAAACTCTTTCTAAGTTAGATTAGCTAAAATCGAAGCTATAGCAAGAAATTCACGAGCTCTATTTTCTCGTTTTAGGTTTGAAAAACTAGACATCACGCCAAAAAGTGCACAAAAGATCAAGCCAGTTCTAGAGCGATGGATGCAGGAAGCGGAGGACAGGTAAACCACTCGCCACTCTGGTTACGGTTGTCCTCAGGGGCACTTGCGATACCTGGCAAGCTAGCGGCCGCCAGGGGGTATCCTAATACCTGGCCAGCTAGCAGCCAGTAGAGTACGATCTTTGGCCAACTTGTGCATAGCAATGGGGACACGATTGGCCAGCTAGTGGTACAATACCTGGACATAAGAGGGCACGACACTATACCGGCTAGCGGCCAATAAGAGCGATAATTGGCCAGTTAGCGGGACGTTTCTATTACAATTATTTTCGAAATTGTGCTTGAGCTGAGGAGGATGATCCTTGACCAACAAGCACAGCACGAAGGTCACTGTGTGGACGGCTAGCCAGCACCAGCGGTGGCCATCACGCGTCGTTGTCGTCATGCGCGGCCCGCGCTCCCACCTTGCAGTAACTGTGTTTTTACGAAAGTTAACGAATAACAACAGAATTTGAACAATCCCAGGAAACTACTTGTTTCAGAAATCAACATGGTCTGTCGTCTACAGGTAAGCAGCACTATGCACTAATTGTCGGCCAGTGTTAAAAGCATTTCATCTAGAGAAGAACATGTGTCATTAAGTTTGACGAAGTTGACACCATCAGCGATGTCCCCAGCGTCGGGGACTTGTTTTCGTCCACACTGTGAGATATTTTGACCCCATTCAATCGTCCTCGGTCACTTTTGTAATTGCAGTGTCACTTATATTAACGTGATTATTGAAATCATGAATCATAAACCTTTTTATTCATTGCGCCCAACGCACTCTTCGTTATACAGTGATTATATTCGTTGTACCAAGAGGGTAAACATCTTCCTGGAGATCGAATTATGCTAGTACGCCTTCAGGACAATATATCATAAAGACTTCAAGAAACAATGCTAGAAATAGTCTGATATCGGCATCGGAATGTTTCTAAATAATTACAGTCCATCAAAATCGATAATACAACATAACAGGTATCCGGAACAATTTACAACCACTCGATTCTATACAGTATGTCTAGAAACTGAACGTGGATCTTGTGCTTCCCCGCTCCCCGTGTGTTAGAAAGCGAGTTATGTGATATTTTGTCCTGATGCTTAAACTTTTGTTTTCGACAGTAGCTGGAGGATCTTCGCTTCGCCAGACGCTGAGACATCTTCTCGAGGAGGGAAGTAAAAAGAGATTTTCGTAAACCTTAAAACCTTAAAGAAGAATCATTGTAGGAGTTGTAGTCGATAACCCATTAAGAAAATATTAATATTTGAGAGAGAAATGTTGACCGAGGAGAATACTGCGTTCCTGTACTTATGGCTCATAAAGTCCTGTCTAAGTGCTTTTATATGAAACATCTTTTGTTGATTTTCTGCAATAGATCAATAAATGAATATAGAATTAGCAGCTAACTGTTATTTTCCTTTTTTAACAAACTTAGTATTAATAAAACGCCATTAATCTTATCCTGTAAATTTCAAATCTTAAAAGTGATCATACAGATATCCCACAATTTTTATCCAAACGTTGATGTGTTCAATCGCAGTCAACAGTGCGTCTGATGGTGACGTGGCCTGGCCCGCTGTCAGTCTCCACCACTACAGTGAGTCATGGGAGCCACTAAAACAGCTGTTGACGTTCAGTTACGTCTGGGTCACCATCGTCCCTCCTGACCGTTTATCACTACGACGCTTCCGCCGCCGCTGCCACCGCCACCGTCATCGCCATCGCCCGGATATTCTTAAACACTGCTGCGAGAATCCAATGCCCGCCAGAGCAAGTCCTTGTGTATCTTTACGCTGTATAGCCCACGAAATTTTGACGTTCCATTGCCCGATTGCTTTCCTCTCAGCTGAGCTATCATGTAGTTTTTGCCTTTCTGAATTTCGAGGAAATAATTCCTAGAAAACGAAGTGCTTGGAAATAAGGTTTGTCGGGGGTGGGGGGTTGGGAGAGAATCCGCCGCCCTACCGGTGCTGAGGGTGACGCAGCTCACTGGGGTGTGTCCACAGGGTAAGACGGCCAGGTGTACCACGATAACGTCACACCACGTCTTACATCCTCATAGTCGTTCTCCAAGGTGTTATATATATATATATATATATATATATATATATATATATATATATATATATATATATATATATATATATATATATATATATATATATATATATAGGGGATTAATGAGGAAGCATGAAATATTATGTCAGATTTATTCATTAATGATTTTGCCAAATTTAATATATGTGATATAGTAATGTAGTACAATTGACCAAAAAATATATTAGAAATTAGTTATTGGCCCCATATTTATTACAACTGTGTATCATTATTTGTTTATGAGATAAGTTCCGAGGATTTTTCTATTTGCACACTAAAGTGACAGCTCTTCCTTGAGCCCTTCCTTGTGGCACACTCTGCATACACACACACATACACACACATACATGCACACACACACACACACACACGCACACACACACACACACACACAAAACATACATACACACACACACACACACACACACACACACACACACACACACACACACACACACACACACACACACACACACACACACACACACACACACACACGATAATCAGCGTATTAAGACTATATTATTCTTTCGTATATATATATATATATATATATATATATATATATATATATATATATATATATATATATATATATATATATATATATATATATATATATGCTTGGATCATTATGTCCCACGAGTTTAAAAACAGCTTTTGTACTGCCTATCATGCACGGTCCTCACACAGCCTTTTAGATAGCACATTACTCATAATATTCAATATCTTTGTAGCAATTTTTAAATTCATCACGTTCAGAAGTAATTGAAGAACACTCCTTTACTATATAACTGATATAAACTTAGCTGAACCTAATCTCGTTCATATATGAGTAACTTCAACTCTGCTCTCACTCCCATTTAATGATGACCCCCTTCCCGGCAGGTACAAGAACGGGCAGCACACCCTGACGGAGTTTATGGGTTCTGAGCCCACCAAGAAGAGGAAGCGACGCACCAGCTTCACCCCTCAAGCTCTAGAGGTCCTCAACGCACACTTTGAGAGGAACACACATCCTTCTGGTAGGTCTTAATCACACCATGGTGAAGTAATCCCCAAAAATATGACAATATATTTTTTTCCACAGCTTTCTTTTTACTACGCTTCAACATCCCTGTTGTATTCAGATTTGCCCCAGTTTCTTTACCTCACTAGAGACTGAGTTGACCTTTGACCTGGTGCTTATTTTCACTCATGTCTTACCTGTGGACATATGTAGGCGTTGAAACGCCTCCCCCCCCTCCTAGTCTTTATGTTTCAAGTGCTTTGGCCGACACATGACTGAGACTATCTTGTATGCCTCACACCACCTAATATGACAGTGAACCTTTCGTTGACTGTTCTGTAGATTGTTAACAAATTATATTTCTTGAGGCGTAATGTTTACTCAAAGAAATTCATCCAGAATGTGTTGATTTCAGTTACTTAAATATTCTAAAGTTATCTTCTCAGTACAGTCAGCAATTAAAACATTGATATACGTAATAAGTTTTTAATTGCTTTGCTTTGCCTTAGCTTAAGACTGTTGTTCCCTGTTAATATTGTTAGATTATGGAAGACCATACCATTACGTTGTTCTTGGCTATGTAATATTTTCTACAAAATATATCGATTCTAAACTTTATAACAAAATATTTGGTGTAGAATCTCCCACCAACGTGATACTTGGTTCACCCTTTTCAAATCACTTTGGTAGTCCAGTCCAGTACCCTGACACTACACTCCCAGTAATATTACTTGCGTGGCTGAGACAAAAGGTACAGCACAAGGCCTTCAGAAAATCGAAAAGATAAACCCATTGGAATAATAGTAAGCCTTTAATTTCTCCTATCAGTTCTTCAACCCCCTCAAGCTTGCTCAATCCTCATATCCTGCATTTATTCAGTCTTCGATCTCCCATATCACAACCTCCAGGGTACAGTTATGGCATCTGTTGGCAATAATTGTCACAGAGAGGCGTGTTTGTTACGTATACAGGTGTGAGTCTCACTCTTCGTTCCATGAAACTTAACAATACATAATTATATACATTGATCTACTAATACTGTTAAAAAATACATTGGTTTCAATTCGCATCCATTTATTAATAGTGGACTCCTCACCAGTCCTATATGCTTGGGTTTTTTCTTAATTGACAGGAATGTGAAGCTTTTCAAATTTCTTCTCAATATCCAAGATTAGATTATCACTGATGCCTTAGGCTTAGTGTATACAATACTTGGCTATACTTTGTCTATGTGCTTAATCAGGCATTGAAAGATGGCTATACTAAAACAACGCTATACTTTGTTTACTCTTTAAATCTTCTGTTTACCTTATATTGAAAAATAGATATTAAGCGGTTTGTCTTGTGAGCATAGGAGGTTACCCAAGATCGTGCTGAATAAAGGTGATATGTGTATAAAGCGTTTTGAATGGTGTATAAGATGTGTTGGTGGGTGTGTAATGTGCACTAACTAATGGGTAAAATACGTTGAATGGCATATGAAATATATTGACTTCCGAGTAATATACAGTACATAGCTGTTGTATAATGTTCCTTGATTTGTGTCTGAGATGCGTTGATTGATATTTTAAATGAGTTGAATTATTTACAATGCGAATTAAGCTGATGTTTAAAGTATTTTGATTGGTGTATTCCTGCTTTAACTGATACGTTGATAAGGATGTAATGTCCGCTGAGTTGTGTATAATGTCCATTTTTGGGGTGTAAAGTGTGTTGGCTAATATATAACGTACGTTGACTGGTGCATAAATATCCTAACTGTATGATAATGAGTTGAATGATGTAGAATGTGCAGTGGCTGGTAACCAATATACGTTGACTGATGTGGGTTGTAGGTTAATTATTATATGAAATGCGTTATAATACAACAGACAGAATATTGTGTCAAGAAATGAAACAAATGACAATCATTGACCCCATGACATTGTGACACTGACCCCCATCACGAACATTGACCCCATCATAAAGATTGACCCCACGACACATATTGACCCCATTGCTAGCATTGACCTAGTAACACTGTAACACCATGACAGACTGTGGCCCCATGACAAACTTTGACCTTTTTACCCTCAATGTACCAATACAGTAATTATTTATTTGTAGTTGTGTATATATCCCCTGAATCGAAGTGTGATTGGAACATAGCCATGTGTTGTCTGGTCATATATGTGAATACTACTGCTTCTCCAGATTTAGGACAGACTCAGTGCTCAGTTCAGGGATTTTTTCGCCACTGAGTCTGAGGGATTTGCTCCTGTTGTGACTACTACTGTATGTCTCACCAATGGTCAACAAGCATCTCTTGCTGGTATAATAGTGCTCTATAGTTTCATTGTTTTTATTCTTATGTCTGCTCTAACAACAAGTGAGAGACTTGTTATCATTATTATTTATATTATTATTATCATTATTTTGCATTAACTCATCAATTTCCATCGATCATATGAAATATAGAGTAGTGTTGAAGGGAAGAGCTTCATCAGTGTCACACAGTAATGACCCGCATCAATTTTATGTAAAGAATATGTACAGCTCATGAGTTATGGCTGTTGGCTTGACTACTCGGCCATAAATACTTTATTATCTATGGTAAAAATCATAGTAAATTTTTGAAACTCGCTATTAATTTGTCAATATCCTGATGCTAAAGCTTTGTTCCCTTGTATTACAGTTTCCTTATACGTTTAGCTAATCAGAAAATCACACAGTGTCGTTTTCACTATTGCATACAGTATATGTTGTCCTTGTATGTGTCAACATGAAAACCAGTTCAGATGTCATAATTGTAAGATTTGTATTATCATGTTATTCCTTTAACTTGATTATTAAGTGAACCATCAATATTTATTTATGACTTACGTACATCATCACAACGTACAGTCAATTCGATTTTTATTTCGGTTAATTTACTCAATCAAAATGTAAGATTTAATTTTTTCTACCCTTTTATACAATATTATACGTTGGGATTTTATACATAATTTTTATATACTGTAATATAATATGATAAGTGGTTTACTAAGATAAGTGTCATCTTAATGTCTGTGTTTCCTATTGGACCTGCAACATGTATACTCAAACACTTCATAAACGAAGAAGCGTGGAAATATGTGTTTTAGTCTTGCTTATTAACTAATCTTGTTTCTTTAAGCCATTATAATAATACAACACAACTCAGAATATTATATGCATGTTATGTTTGTCTACAGTGTTTGGTTGACTGAGAGAATATGACATTGTGTTTAAGATGATGCAAGATGGTTATGGAAGTACACGCTAGAAAGAACATTTATATATTTACTTTGATATATTTAATATATTTATTGGTGCAACATACTGTACTGTATATAAGGTATTATATCTTCAGTAACCACTTGAAGCTCCACATAGTCTTCTACAGTGTGAGCCACAGGAGGAAATATGTCTTTTATTGTGTATTACTGATCTTGTACCTGTAATATACAACTCGTCATTTTTTATCTTCTTTCTCCACACTTAAAATTTTCAGAGTGCCAACTTCCCCTTTCTCTAATATCAAACAGATATTCAAAATCACAGACACACCAGAACTCTTAAGTAAACTTCTGCTGAATAGAAAGTAACTTGCCAATGACTTTATTATTTTTTTAGAGTTAAGCTTATCTGGATACTAAATGTTGTTATTTATGAATATTATACAAAGGATAATGCTAATAATGATGACTCGTCCACAGGCGCAGAGATCACAGCCTTGGCAGAGCAGCTTGGGTATGAACGCGAGGTAGTCAGGATCTGGTTCTGCAACAAGCGTCAAGCACTCAAGAACACCGTCCGCATGATGGCCAAGACCAGCCCAACTGCCCCTCCACCACCACCACCAACGCACCCAAACCTTAATTAGATGTTGACGAGGTGTCCAGCAGATGTTTGGCCGGTAATGGTCATCCATGAGCCTCGAGGAATCGCTAGTTGCCACTATGACACGCCGAGATAACAATGACTGTGACGGAGCTTATCTTGGGCACAAAGATTGAAGCTACACAGCCGACCCACACTACTTTCAACCAGCCTTCTCTACATAGATTGAAATTGATGGCTTGGCTGCACAACAGACTTATCAGCACTTGAATGTTATTTAGCAAAGCACTCAAACCTTCAGCAATGCTGACACTGTGTGGTGAGTCCAGGACGGTTAAGTTGCCCTAAAAATAAGGTGTTATTTGAACATGAAATGAAGCTGACCTGTAAAAATGCTTGTATTCTGTGTATAAGAGAAAATCACAACAGAAAGTCAGTCGCTATGAATACAATGTCTGAGGTGCAAATGTCAAAGAACCAGTTCGTATTCTTGTACAAATTTCTCAAATTAAATTACAGTGAGCAACAGCATCGGTCTGCTGGCATACGAACACTTGAAGATATAACTTGTAAGGTGCTGGAGGTGGCGTTAGAAATGAAGAGAAGCTGAAAGATCCTAAATTTGTCTTGAAATGAAAACTGATACTATACACTAATATGAAATTTCCATCAGTGAATTTAGTTTGTACCACTATTATGTATTTAGCATTGTACTACGGTATTATTCCCGAGGTACTGATATATATATATATATATATATATATATATATATATATATATATATATATATATATATATATATATATATATATATATATATATATATATATATATATATATATAAATGCATATGTGTGTGTGTAAGCATTTGAGGTTCCTGGAAAGAAGTGCCCAAACAGTATTTAAGACTAAGCAAAGCAGTGTACCATTTGGGGCAAGGTTTCTCCCTGGTATAAGGCAAGATATTTGAACGTTTTCCCAAAGCAGTAATAAAGATGCTTATGGAGGAGTACTGCATGCGTTATGAGTTGGTTGTATCAGTGCTGCTGAACCTAAATGACCGAAAAATGTCATGAGACCCCCAGACTTGGTGTGTTGAGTGATATGGTGATGTTATGTGAACTCTGTGAGGAGGCATGAGGCTGCACTCAACCTTTGTACCACTGCAAAGGTTAATGCTTTAGTCTCAATCTATGGATAACTCATATAGAGTTTAAACTATATTATAAAATGAACTAAAAGATTATTATACTGCTTCGTATGACAAAGTGAACTTATGTTACGCCAGAGCGTGTAATAACTATAGAAACTGACACAATGTGTAATTATAAGTACATTTATTCGTCTTTAAAGAAAAAAAAATTCTTTGTCGTTAATATTCTTAAGCTTTTTGAAATACTTGCTGTATCCATGAACTAGTGATCGACAGCTGGTGAGGGACGGCGTGGTCCGGGCTGGGGCCCCAACGCCCCGCTAAGTCATATCATTATAGCGTCTGCTGCTCCCTGGTTGTCTGTGCTGTTTGTATTTGTGTCACGTAATGTAGGAGGAGACAAGCTGCTGTATGTGCCCACCTGGTGTATGCTGCCTGCTATTGTCTGGGCAGAAGCAACACTCGCGTGCCATCCTAGACCCATTGTAAAGTAGATCAATCTCACCATCAGAGTGGCCACTGTGATTATACCGTAAAGGACCACCGCAGTGACTACCAAGATTACTTTAAGTACTGTAGCCATAAGATTATGTCCCTAACTCTAGAACCACTAGAGCGGCTCACGAGAATTATATCACGTAACTTGACAACCACTGCGGTGGCCACTAACACAACTTTCCCCTAGTGTATGAACTGCTTGAGTAGTCACCAAGCCTGTGTAGGTGGCGAGGTGCTGATGTGAGAGGAGAAAGAAATATTCACGAATTTGGCCACAACCCAGCAGCTCCTCTGGGGCGTCCTGTGAGGCTGTTGTACCAGCAACTACTGTAGTTTTATTCCTTCCCTTGGTGTGTTGTTACAGAAGGTGAAGCAGGAACCTATGACCGGTAAACAGTTGTATGTTAAAGTTGATGCATATGTTAATGCACTCGTTACATATGCCTAGGCCTGATGAATGTTAACTTTCTCAGATCACTATGTTTTTATTCTTGATTTAAGAGTTTTCTAAAAATTATTAATAATTTCTCAACTATGTTGTAAATCTTTATATTGTTTTTTATGAATATATTATATTGTAATTTCAATTAACTTTAGATTGAATATATTTATTCACTTTTAAATCTTTTCATCATATTTTTGTTGTGTATATATCTGAAATAGTCCAATAGACCACAAGTAATGTATGTACACTCCAGATTCTTCAAATTAGAGCATTACTTGTTATTTAGTTTGTAGATAGTACTCTAATACACTTCACTTTAATTTAATTAATGAAGTTAATCATAACCTAGTCATTTTTTCAATCACAAGTTTCATCAGTTTATTACTACTTGTCACAAAGAAGACTTGTACAAGAATATCATAATACCTTCTTTAATGTCGTCCATTTTCATCACAACAGTAACAGATTTGAAAAAAAAATGTATGTTTTTGACTGATGTGCATGACACAACCAGCCCCCAACACCTGAAGTGTCTGGGATACTGATGCAGTCTTAACAGGAGACAAAATTATCATGTGTTCTCAAGTTGGCTCATGGTCGCCTTGACCTGCCACTCAGACAAGCAGTAATAGCAACTTTTAGAGTAATAGAATAAAAATTTGTCCTCCCCTGCCCCCGAGTGTTAGTCAACGAGGAGTGCGGTGGACTTGCCCGAGAGCAGCTCAGATAGGTCCCAGCAACATTAACATAGGCTTCAAATGATTGTTAGGATTTTTTTTTGTTTTGTTTGTATTCTGTGATATTTATTTTGTGCCAATCGTTGAAGTGGTGAGACAATGTGTGCCGCTTTGGACAGTTCTAACATATTCCAGCCTGGTAGCTGCTTCTGTGTACAGTGTGTAGCTGAGAGGAGGCCCATGTGGTCACTTTATGCATCTAATATTGTACAGTTGATGTATGTATATGTATTTTCCTTTTATGTCCAAGACATAATGCTGCATTTGCTAATCAAAATGAAGCTAGTTCTCCCACTGTGGCATAATGCATTTCTGAATACCGTGGTAGTGACCCGCTGCCACCCAAACACGTGGGCTTCACTATGGATATATTGATCCTGCCCCTGGGGTTCCCGTTATACCGTTGTGATGTAATGATTCTATTAGTGTGGTCAAGTTTATCAGATCTCCTGTTGTACTATACTCAGTTCCCAATAGGTCATGTTGGCCTGATTTATCCGGACACTGTATCATCCATCGTGGAATATCCAAGCGGAATATCTGTGGTAGAATTTTGGACGTTTGCAGAAACCACTTCATAACTGTAGTAGATCTCTCAAAGTCGTCAAATCATAACCAAAAACAGGTCAGTGCTAAACTATCGTTGTAATCCTTCCATATTCCTACAGAGAAAATGTTCCTAAACCAGTACAGTACTGTAGTTTTGGGCGGATTTTTATAAGGATTTCTAGGCATCAGTTACCCACGGAAGCACTACCGTAGACGTGTTCTTCCTCACTGATGGATTATTTTCCTTGGCCACAGTCACACTACAGCCCATTTGGTGCTCTCGCTTGCATTCTTCCTACAAATTTTAATATCTTGTCTTTTTTTTCCTTCGATCTCTCACAAAATTGCCTTAGTCCAACTTCCTCATTTCTATTTTCTTTAATGTGTCTGTTGGCTGAGGTAGCTCATTATTTTCACATTATTTTCGTTTAATTTATCTTCATTGTCAGCCAGTAGCAACTGCTTCTTTTACCTGTAAGCCAAAGGTACACAGCAGTGTTCCTCAACATATGTATTGAGTGATGCTTTTTGGTCTTCATCCCATCAATTATGAAGACACTTTGTTACCAATATATTTGAAGAAAAATACATGATATATGCCTGACCCTGTTCTACATGTAGGAACAGGTGACAACACACATACATTCATACACAAATGCTACACAAACAAACACACACACACACACACACACACACACATATATATATATATATATATATATATATATATATATATATATATATATATATATATATATATATATATATATATATATATATATATATATATATATATATACATGCAAGTACACAGTGTATTGAAAACCTCGCTTTCTAATTCTAATAAATCTTTCCTTATTTCTTGAGACGAGCACACCATCTTCCTAAGGCCTTGATTAAACAAATGCTGTGATGGATGTTCATTGCCTTAAAACTAATCCTAATTTTTGTCAAACAGCCCACTGAACCTGCCATGCACTTGACCCAGTTTGAGAGTAGTAAACTGACCTATAGCCATAACAATAAATCAGACATGTTCACTGAGCTAAGCGTGATCTTGTACAGTGTGTTTATTGCAAAGGTGGGAAAATTTCTGTAACAAGGTCAACACACACAAACACAGACATGCATAAACACACACACACACACACACACACACACACACACACTTATTAGTGGCACTTGGAATGTACAAACAGGCAATATATAGTTTCCAAACAACATTAGAAGTAACTAATTCTACAAGCACAAACTATACAACAGAGTAAGAGATATACCCCAGCGAGGTATGATCAGTGTGCCGGATACTATGGGCAGAGACCATAGATTTCCTGAGAATCGCATTTTTTTTTTTTGATTGACACGAAGAATCACTGAACTAACCTGTTAAGGAGGAAGTGGCTTCGCTTCATTTATATGGGGGTTAAAAACTTCCACAGATTGTACAAATATTTCTAAGGTTAACAGAAAAACTTATTCCAGTTCCACTTGGGTTTAGCCACAGTACTTGGATTCATGACAAAATATAGTTCCCTATAAAGGCATAAAAATGATGCCTCAAAAACACAGATTCGAAATTGTTGTCAGGTACAGTTGTGAAGTAAGTGGCCAACGTCAAGCAGAACTGGATTTAGACAAAATACTCACGGTTCCCGCATCAGTATGTTTTGGTTCATAACTATTCTCTTCAACACTTACATCATTGTGTCCCAGTGATGGTGACTCTGCAATGCTCCTACGATATGGTTTATAACCTAGACAACTGTTCTGTTCTGTTCTAGCAACGATGAGTGTTTAACTTTGTTCCTGAGAGTTTATAATTGCGTTCCTCTACGTGTGTTGATCCACTGACCCTGTACATGCCCTCCCACCATTTTTGACAATAACTATTGTGATCAATACTAAAGAATTTTTTTTCACATCATGCAACCAGGACAATAACACTTGTTTCATTTGTCTCTTTGAGTGTTCTATGTAGAGAGAACAGTTGCATCTGTGAGTATGATATGACCAGTTCCTAACATCACAAAGTAAGTGCCCAGAAGATCTGTTTTGGAGACCCCAGAATCAGACAGAGTCGTTCCTCTAATAAGTGTTCTTTATGTATATGAAGATAGTTTACCAACTAAAGGCAGTGTTGGACATATTATGTTTGTTGTGAGTCTGATAAGTTCCACAAATATATTTGATATATTGACTATCCGAATAGGATCTCATATGGGCACTATAAAACAACTTCTTATGAAAATGTGTGTATGTACTCTTCCAGTTTTAAATTTGCGTAATAAAACATCGACTCCTTTCTCCTTCATTGTTTTGTGTATCCTTTTTAATTAAATTCGTATTTATATTTGTAGAGAAAAATATATGTAATAGTATTATAAGCAGATTACTGAAAGGAAATGAAAATGTTGTTGAAACTGTATACTCAATTGGTAAGTTTAGATATTTTCATCAACCATCTTATATTTTTTGGTAAAAGTCACTTAAAGACTTTCTGCAACAATTTGCAAAAGCTACCATAAGGTGTCTTAATGTGGCCTAATTGAACGTTGGATGGTGGGCATTTAAGTCCCCAGCAATGAGCACAAGTTCCTGTGTTGCTTGTCTTCCTGCATCTATTCTGTGAGCTGTGTCATAAATGCTTTTCTGTGGTCAATTATAAGAGTTACCCCTGCTCAGTTTTCTGTGATCAAATATAATAGTTACCCC